TTAGGAGAAGAGCCCTAAGACTAGGCCAACCTGGGGAACTGGGTTTAGCTCTTGGCATCCCATATATGTGTCATGCTTTGAAAATCCTCTAGCAATTGTCCTCTTTGTGGTGTCAGAGAATAGCTAGCCATTTTCTTTCTCTGTGTATCTAAGTTTTATCAGATTTGCACTTTCAGAAGGACTCATTTATCCAATCCCAATACCTGTCCTCTGGGAGGTAGAGTCAGCTATAATGCAAGGGACATTGAGGTAGGAATGAGTAATAGTGCCCACAAGAACAGAGTTCTCTCCAAAAGAATTGCAGAGATAAGTAGACTAACTAGCAATCCTATTTATTCCAGATAAAAACGTACTGGGGAAGGAGTTGAGATCAGACCTGAGTTTTAGTCTTTTGTTTCTAACATGGCCAGGATTTAACATCACTTGTATTTTCAATTTGGAGGCTGTATATAATGTTACTGGTAGAATCTAGAATGCATATCACCTTTGACTAGACTGATTTTTCTCTAGCAGACAATAAGTTCTTGAAGAAATGGCCTATTCTTTGGTCTCAATTTCAAAGTTTTTAAAGTATCCTATCATCTTGTGGGTCTCTTAACTGCATGTAAAATGGACACATCATCAGTAGTTATGGTTTCAACATACTGTCATTTGAATCTGTAAGTAAATACACTGGATGGTAAGCAAGCAGTCACAAATGAATTAACCGAAGTGTAATAGACTCTAGAAAGAGTGCAAATAGTGTAGTTCTTTAGACAGAGTAAGTCAGAGCCCCCCAAATAATAGTATAATAACATGCAAACACAACCATATGTAAATATTATTCCATTTTACGCAAAAGATTGAACATATTCAGATTTCAGTATATGGGCATCTTGAACAAATGCCCCACACTCATGGAGGGATGAATACAATTGTTTAATCTGCTTCACTTGTGTGTGTGTGTGTGTGTGTGTGTGTGTGTGTGTGTATGTACATGCCCATGTGTGTAGTGACCAGAAGTGTTAAGCTGAAAACACTGAGTCAAACAATACAAATCCTTGATTTTGCAAGTCTAGCAAATTCTGGTTCTGCTAATCACATATCACAAAAATCATTGTAAGGCTGAGTCAGCATTCACCCTGAGACCGTTGAGAATTACTCACAGCAACATTCTGCTGATTTTCTTTAGGGCTCGAGAGTTAGCGGTGAGACTGTCACTGCTCTGGGAAAAGTAGTCTGTTAACTTGAGCATCAAACAATCAAAGGATGCAAAGGTAGAGTGGCCTTCCTCATGCAGCTTACCAACAGAAGTTGCCTGCTATCTTGAAGGCCATTTGGGAGCCATTAAATGGCTTACAGGGGACAAATTTATACCAGTACATTTAAAAAGATAAATGTTGGGAGAATATAGACTACAGTAACTTAGGATCAACTGAACCCTAATCTACTTTGAGAATCCTGGGTAAAGGGACATGGAGTTTAGTTAGTAATGTCTAGCCCAAGTAAAAAAAAAAACCAAAACCTAAAATTATGAGGATTTTACATAGATATGTGGGATGGGCAGAACTGTGACAAAGACAGTTAAACCACAGCGTTACACAAATGCTAACCCTAACTTCATACAAAAAAAAAAAAAAACAAAAAAAAAAACAAAAAAAACTTTGGCTGGGCGCTGTTGGCTACTGCCTGTAATCCTAGCTAATCAGGAGGCTGAGATCTGAGGATCGTTGTTTGAAGCCACCCTGTGCAGGAAAGTCCTTTAGCCAGAAGTGGTGCTGTGGTTCAAGTAGTAAGGCACTAGCCCTGTGCAAAAGAAGCTCAGGGACAGACCTCAGACCCAGAGTTAAAGTCCCAGGACTGGCAAAAAAAAAAAAAAAACAAAAAAACAAAAAAAAACACCCTTAGGTAATATCTGCTCACTAACAGTTTGCTAAGCCTGTGCTGGTTGTCATTTTAGTACTGATCCCTATAGCTCAGGACCTATGAGACTTAACATCACTTTTCATTTACTTTAAATACCTTTCTCTCCTTCTGTGGCCTTGGATATACTCAACATATTCACCTCACAATGTACCTTCAGAATAAATTCATTCTCCTGGGAGACTATCTGTCCACCTTTTAGTTTAGGTAATGCAAGGGTTAGGTAATGAGGATTGGTGGGCATTCTACAGGCACGTCTCAGTAAAAATGGACAGGCCAATGGATAGATTCTCAAGGCTTGTGTAGCCTGATTAGGGTATCTAAGATTTCTTTTACCTTTATTTATTAGGTGATCAAAGAATATTGATGTTGTTGACAAAAACAGACACCCACCCTGGGGAATGAAGGAACGTTGAGGAGTGATTGAGAGGATGACAAGTAGAATTTGGGAGAGCATAAGATCAAGTGTCTAGGAAAACAATACTTGGATATATGTACTTGGGGACAAGCAGTCTGCACAAACAGATAGTATGACAGTCTTGCACAATTGGGTGTCTACTGAGCAGACACATTCAGAAGAGTTGGAATAAGCAATTTATTCCCTAATGGGCAAATCCCTTCTACACTCCTAATTGGTTAAGCACTATGGGATGTACAATGTTCCCTGGAGTTTTGTTATTTTTCTATTGAGTAATTTAAAATATGTGTCTTTTAAAAAAATAAATAAAATAAAATATGCATCTTTGTGGTTAGTTGAGTTATAGAAGAGGGTCTTATTTCCACCAATGCTTTGTTCTCTTGTGGGGGAAGGGCTTTCCTGGGTATGCACTTTCTGGCATGTATACATTTTACTTCATGTTCTTGTGGTCAACCCTTTCTTCTGCTAGTTGCACCCCCTTTCTAATGTTTTATTTGCCTACTCTGTTAGGTTGGGAAATTCCAAGTGTGTAACTTTCTGGCTCTCACACCAGCAAGCTGTAAAGTCATTGTCTAAGAAACCTTTTACATGGGGCTGAATGCCATGTCTTGAAAATGGACCACTATTTTCCACAAATGTAAGGCACCATGACAATACAATTTAAGCTACTCAGGTAGTTCAAAGCCATAAATATCTTGTTTATTATAAATGTTTACAAAATCTAGAACCCTTAGAAATATTAATCATGGTGAAATTTTAAAAATCCTTCGGCATTTGAAAAATAATTTGAACAGTGTTTATATCATATGGAACACCAGTAACACAAACTAGAACCAGGACTTTTCTAGCCTGTTTAAATGATTACAATATTTATTAGTAAAATATCAATATTTGGCTTTCCTAAACATTTTTTGGCCAGTTTTGGGGCTTGAACTCAGGGGTTGAGCACTGTCCCTGAGCTTCTTTTGCTCAAGGCTAGCACTCTATCACTTGTGCCATAGCACTAGTTCTGACTTTTTCTGTTTATGTGGTACTGAGGAATCAAACCCAGGGCTTCTTGCATGCTAGGCAAGCACTCTACTACTAAGCCACATTCCAAGCCCCCCTAAACATCTTTATATCTTCTTTTAGGATTGCTTCTTGTTGTTGTAAAAAAAGTATTATCAAATGTTATTCCAATAAAGGAAATGGAGAAACCACAAAAAATAAGAGCAAAATTGTCCTAGATTCTTTCTTTAGTGGTTGATGCTGCTATTTTAAAGTTTTATTTTAGTCACAGTTTTCTACTTTTTAGAAGCAGTGATGAATCTGAGAAAATGTTTACCACAGTAACTCTTTTGATACAGTTGCCTTTGTGTTTAGTCAGAAGGCCAGCTCCTTTCTTCTGAGTTTCTTACACTGCCACTCAAGAAGTGGTCTGTGGGCTCCTCACAGGATGGGACCATACTGTTCATTCTGAGCTCACAGTGTTAGGATCCCTGTCCAGGATGCAATTAGATGTATACCAATGGCACAGCCTGTGTAGTCATTCCTAGAATTAGCAAAATAAGAATGAGTATAAGGTTTGAAGAACAAGGAACCAAGAGAAAGCCAAAGGGAAATTAAAAAAAAAAGAACCTAGGACAATCACATTTGAGCTGACACACTAGCTTAAGGTATAGTGTTAAAGGAGTAGTATGTAGAATTCTGGGAAGACAGTGAGATTCAAATATTGATAGACATCTAGAGATAAAAGAGTACAGAGAGTGGCAGAATGCTAAGACAGTGTCAAGAATGATAGAGACGTCTTTAGGCACAAAGCCATACTCCTAGGGCAATTAGGATATCAAACAGTGAAGCATAAGAATGGGAGAGAGAAAAAACATCTAGAAAAAATATTTTCTTCTTTGCTACAGGGCAGAGAAAGAATAAAATCTGAGAGTCATACTGAAATGAAATTTTCTCAACAGTGATTTTCCCTCAGGCAATACAGCTTGAAGTTTCTTATCTCATAGCTGTCATACTGATCTTTATTTTGGAGGTAGTTGGATTTGTACTCAGGACCTTGCACTTACTCAGCAGGCACTTGAGCCAAGCCCCTAGTCCTTTTGGCTTTACTTTTCAGCTAGTGTTTCTCTTTTACCCAGACTGGCCTAACACTGAAATCTCCTAATGATACATCCCGAAGAGCTTGGATGATAGGTATGGAACAGATTTGGTCTTTGATTTTCAGAAGGAATTCATCCCTTTGTCCTTTTGTTTTCTTTACTATTCAAAGGTAAGCTCCATATGACCAAGTAAAGCAGCTAGTATGTCAAATATGTATGTTCTTCCATCTCAGAAGGCTGCTGCTGAGAGGCATCTATTCCATTAGGTTGGGCCATTCTAATTTTAGTCTAGTGATTATATCTTACATGAAAAGAAAGTCTTGGGGCTGGGAAGGTAGCTCAGTGGTAGAGCGCTTGCCTTGCATGCATGAGGCCCTGGGTTTGATTCCTCAGCACCACCACATAAGCAAAAATAAAAAAAGCCGGAAGTGGCACTGTGGCTCAAGTGGTAGAGCGCTAGCCTTGAACTAAAGAGCTGAGGGACAGCGCCCAGGCCCAGAGTACAGGCCCACAACCGGACTCAAAAAAATAAAAAAAGGAAAGAAAGAAAGAAATGAGAACAGAATATGACAAAAACATAAAAATAGCTTCTTCATTTAAATTAAAATTTAATTTTAAAAAGTATTTTAAAAAAGTTTTCAATGAACACTTAAAAAAATAGCTTCTTCAAGTTGGAGGTCCTTAAAACTGGTACCAATCTAAATTTTGTCCCAGAGTAGGGCATGTTTCACAGGATTCCCTGTAAGCTGAGGGGCTGGAGTTCCTCTGAAAGTCTACATAAAGGGGACACATGCCACATAGGTAAATGCTACTAGATCGAAGAAGCTTGTGTAAGTTGTTGCTGAAGCTTGTAGTGGAGCAATGTTTAGAATGAAGCAGTGAATGACCCTTCCTGCCTTGTGTAAACTTTTCTTTCTCAGCTGCCTCTTGATATCTCCAGTGGATCACACAGATACAGCAGACACAGAATCCGCGATACCTAAGACAAAAAAAAACCAAACAAATATTAGTACTTCATGTTTGCTCTTCAGCTGTCTTCAAGCAGAAAAGTAAAGTTTACTTTTTATTTAGGTTTGGAATCAGCTGTTATCTACTAAAAAATAAGGTAATGGTTAGTGCTACCAGAGGGGAAAAAAAACTCAAAACCTGAGCAATGGTGGCTCATGCCTGTAATCTTAGCTATTCAATAGGCTGATATCAGTTCAAAGCCAATCTGAGTGAGAAAGTTACTTTCAATTAATTAGCAAAAATACAGAAGTGAAGATGTAGGTCAAGTGGTAGAGTGCCAGCCTTGAATAAAAAAAAAATCCAAGGAGAGCTCAAGCCCTTGAGTTAAAGCCCTAACAGCAGTCCACACACAAAAATAATGATATGCTTAATATTTTATATCAAGACACTAAAATTTTACAACCTAAAATATGAATGCATCTGAGACCAATTTATTCCATTGCTATGTATTTCTTAGCAGAAATAAAATAGCTGGTCAGGTTAACTGTAAACAAAATTTCAGGTTGTAAACTCTATGATTTGAACTTGAATAAAATTTCAATAAATTTCGTGTGTCCTGTCCTTTCTTAGCCCGAAGCTCAACACCATGCCCAAAGCAGTAAGTAGCAGTAAGTAAGTCTGGATTTTCTTGTAGTGATCCCCAGCTTTGAATTCTCTAGAGGATATGGAACAGTATCTACATGATGCCACTGCTCATAGAGTAATATAATTTTCAGGATACACTGGTGGAAAGAATTTAGGCCACTGATGATCACTGATGATGCAGCCAGATCATTGGATAGTTGCACTGGGAAAGCTAGTGGGAGACTTTATCTCAAGTCATCCTAGGTAGCTGTAGGGCTGGGGGCAAAGCATCAGCATTGTTGCCATCATTATAAATCAATGTTTGAACTGTAATCTCGCCATTACCCTGCTAGAGCTTTGAAAACAGCTCCCCCTCAGGACAAATCCAACCATTCACTTCCCATTAGGACAATTAGGCCAGTGAGGGGCAACAGCAATTTACCTTCCAGTTCCATACACAGGAAGTACCAGGCAACTAGGACAAGTACAAGCCTGGCTTGCCCTCAGCTTTGGCAGGCAGACTTTAGTGACATGAACTATCCCCAGTAAATAACATATAAGAACCTTCATGGGAGGAAGAGCTGAGGTTATTTACTAACATTCCTGGGTTCTATTTCATGGAATGATCAGAGAAAATCATTAGATTGAATCAAAACACTGACTGATAACTTTTCCCCTAACTTTATTTTAGTCTCACCATCTGGAAAGTTCTACCAATTTTAAACACTTGTATCCTTTATATGATAGAACTCACTGCAATGAAAAATTCAAAGTTGCTTTCTAGCTGAAATTTAGTCTGGAGATAGCTTGATTTTAGAGAGTATGCTGATTTTCCATACTGGCCTGAAATTCAAGACTTAGAATATATTTTTGGATACAGGTTCAGCATAGATCTTAGAGTGCTTCAGCTTTTTTATTCAGTTTGTGGTTGATAATTTTTAAGTTTGTATATAGTACATGGCTAATTCTCTAAATATCAGTGGGCATTTTGCTAGAATGGTATATTTGATAAGGATGAAATTAAGTCAGAATCAAGCCTGATACTTAGATTTTTCTATTTTCAAAGAAAGAAAACAGAACCTATTTTTTCTTTCACTTTGGTTTTCTTCTTTTGCGGTGCTAGGGATGAAACCCAGAGCTTTGCATATGATAGGCGCCCAACATTGAGTGCTTCTTTGAAGACATATGATCATTAAGCAGGAATTAAAATGCACAAATCAGGAAAAAATCACAGTGTAAAAGTGAATTTGAGCAGAAAGATATTTCTAGAGTGGCTCAGCAACTTGAGTGTTCATCTGATCTCTGAAGTAGTTAACTCCAGTAATGAATTGTTTGGGGTAATGTTTTGAAAAACAAGTGAATGACATATTTAAGTTTTCTACTTCAAAATGGAATATGGCTGAGCACTGGTGGCTCATGCCTATAATCCTAATCTTTTCATGAAGCTGAGATCTGAGGATTATAGTATGAAGCCAACCATGGCAGGAAAGTCCATGAGACTCTTACCTCCAATAAACTACCAAAAACCCAGAAGTGGAGCTGTGATTCAAGCAGTAGTCCTGCCCTTGAGTAAAAACGCTCAGGGACATTACCTATGCCATTCTGAGTTCAAGCTCTAGGACCAGCACAAAAGAAACAATGTGAATATGTTCCAACAGTGCCTCTTTTTAAAATTTTCAACAGGGTGAAGATGAACTTATTAGTGCATAGTACTCTGAGTTTGCTGACAGTATTTTCTAAATTAGAAATGTTTACAATTTTAATATTCCCAAAGAATATTAATTGATACTTAGCCAGAAGTTTGCAACACAAATCTATGACTTACCACAAATATTACTGCCCATTTTCACATGTGCATAGCCATCTACTCCCCAGGAACGCCCCCAGGAGTTCCGAACTATCCAGTATGGAATTCTTCCTAAAAACAGAAAATGTTAATAACTTCTACTTGGTAGGAATGCATGAATTTCATATAAAGTTGGCGAGGTCCAAATAAATCTCCTAGCTCTGAAAAAGATAATAAGTGTAATACATTTACATTTATATTGCATAAATTATGTTATATAAATGTAAGTAAATAAGCTTCATAATTGGCATCTATATTTAGTATATACTCATTAGAATACATGTCTAATTCTAGTAAATTAGGCGGGGGAAGGAGTATTAGAGATGTGTGGCAAATCAGGAAATACTTATCTTTTCCCAACATTGATTTCAAATATTCCAAATAACAACTGCATTATTTTTTGTCCTTAGTCCAAGACTAGGACTCAAACTCGAGGCTTTTGCTCACTGGCAGGTGCTCTACCACCTAAACCATGACTCCAACCTCTAAAAGGTTGGTTAGTTCTTTTTTCTTTTTTGTATTATTTAAGTTAATAATATATCGGAATCAGGCTGGGAAGATAGATCAGCGACAGACCACTAGCTTTGTATGTGTATTACACTAGGACAAACCTTCAGCTCTCCATAAACAAAAAAAGACATCAAAAATTGATAAGTGGTAATGTATAGAATATTTACATCTGAGAGATCACCTACAAGTCAGTTCTCAGGCATTACACACCAAACTGTATTGCTCTACAAGTTGGCCTTTTTGGCAGAGTTCAACCTGGATAGTGTGTTGTAATCACTCACCTGTTTTATCAAACCCAGTTACGAGGACAGCATGGTTTGCTTCTCCACTAGAGCAGTGGTGCTGTATTATGCCTCCCAGGTAATCTTGCCAACTCACCGCATCTACCACCACAACCAAAGGACCAAAGGTCAAAAGTGCTCTTGCCATCTCATCTTCTTGCTCACTACCAAGACAAAAAAGCATAACATGGGCAAGGTAATAATCAAAATAGTCTTGCAAATCTGCATATTGTTAGGGATACGTTTGGTTAAAATTACAAATGACCTAAACAACAGAGGGTAAGAGATGACTTGGATAAGGGCATTTTAGTACTGTCTGAGGCCCCAAGATAACAGATCTCAGCCTCTATACTCACTATCTTCTCGGCCTATACCTGCTGATAGATCTCCCACCATTTAACATATGTTTTGACAGCAGGAAGGGGAAAGGCAATGAGGTGCTACATCTCTGTTGAGAAGAATCCTAAGAAATGATATGTACTTCTGCATGTAAAGATCTCCCTGGCCAGGGGAGAGTTACCTGCCCCAGTCTGGCTTAAAGAAAGATGGAAAAAAAGAGTTTATAATAGTTGGCTGGCAAAGTATTCAGGTTAAAATAACATAGCAATTGCTTGAATAACAACAGTGTAAAGATTCGATATTCAGAAATTCTTTGTCATCACACTATGTGAGAACTGAGAGCCTAAGCAACTTAGGTTAATGAATTTCCAATACAGAAACTCACACTGGAAATGAGATACTAGACAATATGTCAAAATAAATAAAGCAATAAAAACTGAAGAACTATTAAGTTGCCTGGGAAACTGGGTGCTACATGGCCAGAATGGCAAACAGTTACGACTTTCACAATTGTGATGGAGAACATGCTCACCATTTGGCCTCCATGGATCACAAAAGTATGTGATAAAACCATCATGTACACAGTTCAAAGGACAGCTTCGTGGGTGGAAGATGCAGAACCAAGGTAGTGATAGTTCAGGCCATTAGTAGCATGGGGCGGTTTATTACTGCAGTGAGTGTGGTGGCTTAGCAGACAGAGTAAATAATCTTCTCATTTTCCAGCTTGGGACCAGTTTATAGTAAGGAGATTCTGACTACACATGAGGAAAACCCTGAGTTCATAAACCATGCACTTTATGACACACAAGCTAGGCAGCAATTTCTAGAATTTATTCATGTGAACGATTCAGCTAAAATTTGTGTTTTGGACATCACAAGCAGGCATTTCTAATATTTGCTCTAGAAGTGAAAATTCTTTCTGATAATTCCAATACAAACAAACTTATAATAAAATTTTTCCCCAAACCCAGATTCAAATTGCATTTATACATTATAGTCATTGTTTCTACCTTGCTGAATCAACACACCCTAACACTATTGAGTTTCATACGCTGTAAGTTATGCAGCATGTCTGGGATGAATTCTATTCTAACCTCTTAATAAAAATTTTTTCTTCATTTTTAAATCGTTGAAGAGAAATTTTGTGCAGCACAGATTTTGGTATATGATGTATATGTTATTGTCTTTAAATTATCTGAACATGTTGTAATTTAAATGGGACACATATGACAATCTCTATGTTTACTAAAGCATAGTTTTTTTTTTCCATCCAATTAAAACAAGACAGAAAAGAGAGAACTGAGATTTGGGTCAATCCAGGCAAAAAGTTTAGTGAGCCTCTCTCTAAAATGTCAGATTTAAATGAGCAACAAAAAGTGAATTTCAGAGGAGCAAAAGATAGAACTGTGTGTGTGTGTGCACATGTGTGTGCACATGTGTGTGTGCATGTACTCAAGTCAGTCTTGGGGGCTTGAATGCAAGACGTGGCTGCAGTCCCTGAGGTATTTGTTGTTGTTGTTGTTTGGGGCTGGACCTGGGGCTGGAACTCAGGGCCTTGGGTACTGTCCCTAAGTTTTTTGTCCAAGGCTAGCAATGTATCATTTGAGTCAAAGTTCCACTTCTAGAGTTTTTGGTAATTTACTGGAGATGAGAATCTCATGGACTTTCCTGCCAGATCTGGCTTCAAATGGTGATCTTTAGATCTCAGCCTCCTGAGTAGCTATGATTAGAAGCATGAGCCATTAGCATCTGGTCTGAATTCTTTTTAATGATATTATGGAAGTATGTTTCCTTCTGTGCACACCCCACATTAAGGAGCAAGGTGCATTTTCTCAAGTCCTCATTTTAGGAAACACATTACCTTTATCCCCAAAGGAGCATTAACAAGGTTTCTGAGGCTGCTGCACATACCATGTAAACCCCTCATTGCCTGGCAGCCAGGGATCACAACTCTTTGATGTGAGGTTTCTAGGTTTCCCAGACCCTGTCTGTAAAAGGAACCTGGCTTGACAACCTGCCAGTCCCAGGCACACATGCTCATTTAAGAACTCTATTTCATCCAAGGATCTAATTTCCTTCGTGGCTCCCTTATGCTGCTCTGTACTGCTACCATCTGGGTAAAGATGTTCTCATATGTTCAGGCTTGGAAAGTCACTGGCATTCTGTTTCCTTATTCAAATGCATTTTCTCTGCTTCAAAAAGTGGTGTAAATTCTCCATCGTATTTATTTGATGAAGCTATGAGTGGGTAGAGTTTTCTTTGGACTTTATCACCCCCAGATACCTATTTTGCACTTGTTCACTAGGTTATAATGATTCTTGGGTACCGTCCCTAAGCTTTTTGTTTCGTGTACACTTTTAAAGCATATTTAAAGGCATATTAACCTATGAAAAGGTACCTCCTTTTGATTTTTTCATTTTAAAAAATTATTTTAATTTTTTAAATACATTTTTATTGTAAAAATACTGTACAGTTACATGAGCAAGGTAATGAGTACATTTCCTATCAAGCATTGTTACCTCCTTTGCTTTTCCCCTACTCTCCCTTCCCTTACGCCTCCAAAACTATGCCCCCCTCCCCCCATTCCCTCCTCCCAACCTAATTTGTAAAGTTCTTTTTCAACATAGTGTCTTGTATATCTCATTGTTATAATGGGTCAACCTGTATCACTATTTAAGCATTTTGTTTTTTCCCTTCCCCTCCCCAAGGTAGAGAAGTGTATATACCAGATGCAGGACACTGGAAACAAATACAGTCAAAACAGGGGTTATACTGTAGGGGAGGAACATACAAAGAAAAAAAATCACATTGGAAAATTATAAATATGTTAGGAACAACAGCAAGAAAGAAAAAAAACACTTGTGTCCCTATCTTGGGGTTCATTTCGCTTATCATCTTATCTGGTCATATGTACATAGTTTTTTGTTTTTTTTTTTTTTTACCTTTTCTGCTTGTCCCAGACATATACTAGTTATTGCAAATAAGGGAAACCATAGGACCTATGTTTCTTTGGGCCTGGCTTACTTCACTTAATATAATTTTTTCCAAGTCTTTCTATTTCCTAACAACTAGGGCAATGTCATTCTTTCTGATGGAGGCATAGAATTCCATTGTGTGTGTGTGTGTGTGTGTGTGTGTGTGTGTATCACATTTTCTTGATCCATTCATCTACTGAAGGGCATCTGGGTTGGTTCTATATCTTAGCTATGGTAAATAATGCTGCAATAAATATAGTTGTGCTGGTGGCTTTAATATGGTCTTGTTTGTGATCATTTGGGTAAACGCCCAGAAGTAGGACTGCTGGGTCATAGGGGAGCTCTATGGAGAATGGTTGAACAAGTTTACACTCTCACTAGCAATGCAGTAGGGTTTCCTTCTGGCCACATCCCCTGAAGCATCTGTTGTTATTAGATTTCTTGTTTATAGCCATTCTAACTGGGGTAAGGTGGAATGTCAATGTTGTTTTGCTTTGCATTTCTTTTATGGCTAGAGAGGCTGAGCACTTCTTCATGTATATTGGCCATTCTTATTTCTTCTTCAGAGAAGTTTCTCTTTAAGCTTTAGCCCACTTGTTTATCAGGCAGTTGCTTTGAGGATTTGTTGTTGGGGGATTTAATTTTTTGAGTTCCAAGTACATTTTAGTTATGAGACCCTTATCCGTTGTATGGCTAGTGAACATCTTCTTCCAGTCCGTTGGCCTTCTATTGATCTTGCTAGCTATGTCCTTTGCCATGCAGAAGCTCTGCAAGTTCATGCAATCCCATTTGTCCAACCTTTCTTTGCTTTGTTGTGTTTCTGGGGCTCTATTCAGAAAATTTCAGCATGATATCCAACAAAAATGAATACACAAATTACCAGCTCCTCTGGGACACAGCAAAGGCCGTACTCAGAGGCAATTTCATAGCTCTGAGTTCCTACATCAACAAATTGGAGAGATCTGAAACCAACAATTTAATGAGACATCTGAACCTCCTTGAAAAAGAGCAGCATATTAAACCCAATCCAGTAGATGGAAAGAAATAATTAAAATTAAATCAGAATTAAATGAATTAGAATCCAATAAAATCATAGAAAGAATCAACAAAAGAAAGAGCTGGTTCTTCAAAAAAATTAACAAAATTGACAGACCCTTAGCAAATCTCATCAGAAAAAGAAGAGAACACACCCAAAACAAACTCAGAGATGAGAATGGAAACATCACCACGGAAACAACCAAGATTGAGAACATTATAAGGGAATACTTCTCAAACTTTTATGCTAATAAGTTTGAGAATCTCAAGAAATGGATGATTTTCTAGCAAATATTGACATGCCAAAACTAAACCAGGAGGAGTTAAACCAACTTAACAGACCCATATCAAGCATTGAAATAGAAACAGCAATAAGAGACCTCCCATAAAAGAAAAGCACAGGAACAATGGATTTACAGCGGAGTTCTACAAGGCCTTCAAAGCAGAGTTCACACCAATATTCCTCCAAATCTTCAATGAAATTGAAAGAGAAAATTCATTACCTCACTTTTCTATGAAGCCATTGTAACCCTCATCCCAAAACTAGGCAGGGACTCATCAAAGAAAAAGAACTATAGACTCATTTCTTTGATGAACATCAATGCAAAACTTCTCAACAAAATTTTGGGCAATCCACTTCAACAATTCATAAACAATTCATTTCAGAGATGCAAAGTTGGTTCAATATATGCAAATCAATTAATATAACTCATCAAATCAACAAGAGCAAGCATAAGAACCACATGGTTATCTCAACAGATGCAGAAAAAGCATTTGGCAAGATCCAACAACACTTTATGATGAAGGCTCTGGAAACACTAGGAATCCATGGAACATTCCTCAATACAATAAAGGCTGTATATGACAAACCTACAGCCAGCATTATATTTAGAGGAGAAAACTAAAACCATTTCCTCTAAACTCAGGAACAAGACAAGGATGTCCACTCTCTACACTTCTCTTCAATTTAGTATAAGAATGCCTAGCTACAGCATTAAGACAAGATGCAAACATAAAGGGGATCCAAATAGGGAAAGATGAACTAAAACTCTTCCTCTTTGTAGAGGACATGATCTTGTATTTAAAGAATCCCACGGACTCCACTCCCAAATTACTTGAGTTGATTGGAGACTTTGGCAAAGTAGCAGGATATAAAATTAACCCTCAAAAATCAATGGCTTTTCCGTATGCCAACAATGAGAAGAGCACGGCTGAAATCAGGAAAGCAACTCCCTTTGTAATAGCCCCATAAAAAATAAAATACCCAGGAATTAACTTAACTAAAGAAGTGAAGGACCTCTATGATGAAAACTTTAAAAACCTGTAAAAGGAAATAAAAGCAGAATTTAGGAAGTGGAAAAACCTCCCATGCTCCTGGATTGGAAGGATCAACATCATGAAAATGGCAATACTTCCCAAGGCTATCTACAAATTCAATGTGATACCTATTAATATTCCAACCTCATTCTTCAATGAAATAGAAGAAGCAATCCAAAAATTCATATGGAACAATAAAAGACCCTGAATAGCAAAAATGATCCTTAACAGAAAGAATAGTGCTGGAGGAATATCAATATTAAATTTCAAACTCTACTACAAAGACAGAGTAATCAAAACAGCTTGGTACTGGCACAAGAACAGACCTCAGGACCAATGGAATAGAACTGAAAACCCAGAAATGAACCCACAGACCTATAGCCACCTAATCTTTGATAAGGGAGCTAAAAAAATAGAATGGAAGAAAGACAGCCTCTTCAGTAAATGGTGCTGGTAAAATTGGTTAAATGCCTGTAGAAAACTGAAGTTAGATCCTTATATATCACCCTGCACCAGAATCAACTATAAAATGGATCAAAGATCTCAAAGTCAAAGCAGACACCCTGAAAACATTACAGGAAGGAATAGGAGAAACCCTTGGCCTCTTTTTTATTTTTAACCCAGTCCTTTCCCCCTGACAATTTGTGTCTATCCCCAAAATGCCACCCTGCCTACACAATGCATAACTAATTTTCACTCAAAGTCTTGGTTTGTGGTTTTCTTACAGCTGATGCCTGTTTGGAGAATGCTCCAAACTTCTTCTTGGCCAGAAAGTCTATATGATTTTGGATGGACTCAACATAAGGCTGAAATAAGTTGATGGTACTATAGCATCTGAATTTGATACAAGGGAGCTTATAAATATAAAATTACGCTTTAATGTTGATTTAAATTCCTAATTTTAATTTCTTATTTCTAGTGTAAAGACCCATTTTTTTAAAAGCCACCTTTAAGAAACATCAGTCAGGTACTGGTGGCCCATCCTGTAATCCCAGCTTCTCAGGAAGCTAAGATCTGAGAATCACAGTTGAAGTTAGCTGGTACACATTCTAGCTCCAATTAATTAGCAAAAATATAGACTGGAGGAGTTGTTCAAATGGTAGAGTACCAGTCCTGAGCAAGAAAACTAAATGAGAGCTTAATATAAGTCCTAGAAGTGGAAAAAGAAATAGAGAGAAAGAGAGAAAGAGGGAGAGGGAGAGATAGAAAGAGGAAATGAAAGAAGAGCATGTATAATATCTCAATAGCTCATAAGTTAGAAATGTATATAGACCAACACAAGAGAATATGGTATTTACCTGAAGTCATGTGAAGTATAGTCTTTGACTGACACTCCAGACTGGGAAGAAGAGAAGTAACGGCACAGGCCATTTTGAGCTTTAAATGGGTATTCAGAGTCTTCTACTAGCTTCACCTGAGTCTACAAGAAAACAGTGCTCCAATGTCTTCAGTGTCAGTTGGTTTAAAATTTCAATAGAAGTTACTTTTTTCCCTCACTGTCATGTGGGCAGGAGTTGTTAAATTAAGACTTTAGTCTTGTAATAGACTTCCTAGCCAACTATAGTTAGTATCTTGCTTTGACTACAATTTTTCTTATGCCTTTCTTTCTTAGACTTACGCTGCAAAAGACCATTGATCATCTTTCTCCTGAGGGTGTGACCATCACAGACTTCCCCAGGATTTCTACCTATGTGTCAGCTACTACAATGATCTCTATATAGTCAATAGCTAACTCATATATGGCATTTGAACTTAGGGCCTCCACTTGTCTGGTACAGTGCAAGTGAGCCACACTTCTAGCCCCATTTTTCACTGGTTATGTACAAAATATAATCAGTGCAATCCACGATGCAAGCCTGCTCCATGATCTGCCTACTTTAGGCTTCCATGGTAGCTGGTGTACAGGAACACACCATCGAGTCTATCTTGCCTCTGTAGAGATGAGATCTTGTCGACTTTTCTGCCTAGGCTGGCCTGATACATAGATCCTCCTAATCTCAGTCTCTTATGTAGTCTGAGATAGCAGGAGTGCACCATTGCATACAGTTATGGGTTGAGAAGGGGCTTTGTCTGGTGAGCTTTCTGCCCAGACTTATCTTGAATTTTGATCTCTCATTCTCAGCTAGAATTATGGATAGCACCAACAATACCCATGTTAGGCCACTCATACTGATACCATGTCTGTTCAGAAAATAGATCTCAGATAAGAATCTTCACCATTGGCTATTCTATGGTGAAGCTCTATGCTTGGAAGTCATTCCTTCTGAAACCTTCTAACTAATTCCCTCCCAATTTGGCCATTTAACTTTCTAAAGTTGAAAACAGTGGAGTTTGTGAGAATAACTGAACTGTGAACTCACATAAAGAAGCTAAGAGACCAGGAATTAAGGGCTGAGAAGCAGTCACCTTGTTTAGCCATCTCAAAGCATTGAGTGGAGAGCCTCCTCCACAGCCATCGTCCTTATAGGAGCAATCGAGGACCTGCTGCACGCTGAGGACTTCCAAGGGCTTCCCTTGTATGGCACGTGCAGACTCCATGGCACCCACCACGCTGAAGGCCCAGCACCCTCCGCACTGTGTGAGAACAAAGTTGAGGAGGGTAATAGTGACTACTATACAGTGTGTTACATCAAACTGACCAATGGTTCTAAATAGGCCAACTGATGAAATCTAGCAACGGTTCCAAGAGCTGGAATCTACCCAACTATGCATCTCCATTGTCTAACTTTGCCAACTGAAATACCAAAAAATGAAACCAAAATTCTCTTTGAAACAAGGGCATCTAATTATTTTTAAGATTCAATCAGTAAAGTTACTAGCCAAAGTTAAGTAATACAGGGTAAAGTTAATAATCCAGAACTAATACAACATTTAAACAACTGATGACACTTGGAAAGAAGTTGGTTCATTGAGCATATGACTTCTCTAAGTGGATTCTCTACTGGAGATTGCACACTGACTTCCACTGAGGGATTGTATACCAATGGACCATGATGCTAGTGTGTACCTAGTGTGTACCTACTAAGTGTGTCTATCACACATGCACTGCATATGTCCCAACAAAGAATAGTATTCCCCAAATACTGCTGAGTCATTGCTGATTGCAGATCTATAATCAGGTTCCTATTTAAAAGAGAAAAATAGGGTAAAAGGACTTATTCTAAAAGAATAGAAGAGACAGAGGGAGTGGCATTAGAGAGGGCAAAAGGAAGCAAGATCTTTAAAAAAAAGGCACATTTGAAAACAGACAAAAATCCTTAAAGTCTCAGCCTCCTGAATATCTAGGTTGTCCAGCCATGGATGTACTTTGTGGTGTGTGTATGCTGATTTTGGAGCTTGAACTGAGGACCTGGGCACTGTCCATGGACTTTTGTGCTTAAGGCTAATGCTCTACCACTTGAATCCCACTTCTGAAATTTTTGGTGTTTAATTGGAGATGAGTCTCACAGACTTTACTGTCTGGGCTGGCTTTGAACCAGAATCCTCAGACCTCAGCTTCCTGAGGATCACAGATGTGAGCCACCTGTGTCCAGGCTGAATGCACTTTTAAGAATCACAAGGTGAGAATAGGGGTGGCTTTATTGATGGAGCAACTGTATGGGGTACAGTAGAGAACAGAGGATAGCTTCTACATTATTGGCAAATGTAGGCATGCAGCTTAATCATTTACTTTTTGAATTATGTAACAGTAAGTGTTCCCCTTCTCCAGCTCAACACATGTGATTCTACAGGAAGCTCAGTACCTGTGGTACAGCTGCTGGCACATATCCCTGAGTTAGTGTGCTAGGGGCAACTGCAATTAGTGAGTGAATACAACAAAGATTGATGGTGAGGAATAAAAGTTAGGTTTGCCATCTGCATCTCATTCCTCAAAGATTCTCCCTTCATTATCATTTTTGCATGACTGATGTGTGCTTTTTACCTAGAAGAAAATGATGAGTCTCATTACATGTTTGATAGCACTTGACCTCTAAGGTATTTTCCAATGTTAGATGATTAAGAGAAATCAAACGTGAGCTCACCATCTGCTGGCTTCTCACTTGCGTGACAACATGCTTGTCTCTCCAATCAAATCTCAGTGGCAAGGACACGTTGGGGATGGGCTTGTACATTTCTGTGGGTTGTCTGGGAAACATGGCAGGTTTGCTCCTTAAATAGATAGCTGAGTGGAAACAGGAAAGGAAGATACAACAGGGAGTATATTAGGAACTCCTTCTAGAGCATATCTTCTAACAGAAAAGGCAGCTCTTTGGTAAACCTGCCAGGTGAATCTTCCCCTGTGCTGTTCTGCAACATGGAACATATTCACTGAAGGCAACTCAACAGAATTCCTGCCACAAGGTGGAGCTGACCCATAAAATGACCCATTTGATACAATCAGGTCAACAATAAAACTGTATATAATTCCTTCCATCCCTCCCTCCCTCTCTTTCTTCCTCCCTCCTTCATTTCCTTCCTTCCTTCCTTCCTTTCTTCCTTCCTTCCTTCTTCTTTCCTTCTCTCTCTCTCCCTTCTTCCCTCCTTTTTTATTTTCTTCCTTACCTTCTCTTTCTTTGCTCATTCTTCCTGGGCAAGTTCTTTGCCTCTTGAGCCACATGCTAGGTCTTTTTGCTTTGTGTTTGGGCCAGCTCTTACTGCAGTCTTCCTACCTCTACCTCCAGTAGAAAGGATTACAGATATAAGCCTCTATGCCTTGCTTGTTCTTTAGTATGGATCTCCTTTGTTGTCTAAGCCTTGAACTTTGATCTTCTCATCTCCACCTGTTTTGTAGCTGGGCATGTTCTGCCACACCTGGTTCTTTAATATCCTTTCTTTCATCATAATCTAAGAAACTGTAAGTGTCCTGAATAGAAACTGTATCACAAAACTGTAGAAGCCAAGAGACAATTGTCCCCTATAGTTACATAGCCTTGTGTGTAACATGTTAGTTCCTAAGCAGTTACTTTCAAAGTGTTGGGAATTTATTTTTCTTATGGTTAGTACTTGAACATGAAAAATAATGCATAAGTATTTAATAAATATGAACTATTATTAACTTACCAGATTTGAAATTAAAGTATCATTCAAAAACTCAGCAAAGATGTCAAGAAACAGGAAATCAAACATTCCACAGTGCTGTAAGAACATACCTTTAAACTCTTTGGGGAACAAATAAGAAAACTGATTTACTCCATAGAAGGCAGTGGTGTTCTTCCAAGGAGAAGAATTCAAGAATCGATGTCTACGAAGACTTTCCTAAACAACAACAAGAAGGTATTTTATGTCTACTTTATCAGCTAAAGCAATCTCTGGGTGAATAACTTGGAGATGTTTTCAGGTACAAAAGTAAAAGCTTGGTTTATTTCCTTCATATTATAACTAAATATTGTATAAGAAATCTGTATCTGATTTATAAACACTTTGGTTTTAGAATTATCAGCCATATCTGGACTGTGGTGGTATATGCATGTAAGCCTAGCTACTCACAAGGCTGAAACACTTTTTGTAGCACTGAGGACCTAAGCCAGCAAAAGCTGTACCACTTAGCTACCCCTCCAACCTTAGCAATGCTAAAACTCTAAGCATTGTAGGTTCATAGAAATGCTGGCCTGGGAGACAGGGGGGCAAAATTTCCCTATACTCTTTCAAAACTCTTAAGGCAGATAGATCTTCCTAGACCACTTTTTTTGTAATCTTATTAGAAACAAAACCTAAAACACTGCCAAGAAGTTAGCACAGTTCCATCCATAAAAGCTAAATATATTTAGAGAGAAACAAATTTATATATGCTCATGTTTTCGGTGAGTTTCCATGTACTTCTTAATAGCATTGCCATAGGAATGTCATCTGATTTTTAAGTGAAGTAGTTTCAGTAAGTTAATAAAGGAAGATACAATTTTTCTATTTTAAATACTAATGTCCTTAAGTTTCAGTGATGATTCCAATAACACTGCTTGATTTGGGTCTTGCACATGTGCTTCTGAAGGAACCCTACTCTCTACCACTCCCTATCTGCAGCTGTTCTTTCATTGATGTGAGCCATGCAAGTATTTGCCATCTTCATGGAAACACTGCTCACTTCTGCTTGGTCCATCAGAGGTCAACTAGAACAAATTTCATTTACCCAGTCTTGTTTATCACTTGAGCAATATCCTGCCCTTTTGTAGCTCTCTGCAGGCTATGCCAGAGAGGCATAATGTAGGCATTTGCCAAGAGCATAAAACTCTGAAGTTTTTGCTGTCTCCCTCCCACCAATTCCTACTCTGTGCTCTTGACTTTCAAGACAATAACATGCTGGAAGTATGTCCCTATACGTTCAGAACAAAACATAATTCCATTACAGCCTCTCTCTCTCTCTCTCTTTTCCAATCTCTCTCTTTTCCATTCTCTCTCTCTCTCTCTCACACACACACACACACAATGCCCCCATTTGGGTGGATTTCTTACAAACTATATCTTCCTTTGTGTTTAAACATAGAACACCTGGAGTCTAGAACCTATCATTCAAAGATCATAACTCTCATGTTTACTGGGGTTAAAGCAGAGCCAATATCTCTCCTAGTATTAGAAATAAAGACTATTTCCTTATTAAAAGCTTTCATATTAAAATTCTATCATGACTGCAATCCAATAATGAGCTATTCTCTGGTATTCTGCAACAATTCAAATTCACCATAACCTCGATTCATTTCCATGTTCCTTTTCTCTGTCTCCCTTGCCCCCTTGTACTGGGGTTTGGACTTGGGGCCTTACATAGCCACATCTCCGGCTCTACTTCTGTGCTGGTTAAATTGGAGATACCATATTGTATACTTTTCTGTCCAGGCTAGTCTCAACATGTTCCTCCAGATCTCAATCCCCTTAGAAGCTAGGATTCCAAGCATGACTCATTGGCACCTGGACTCTTCTTGTTCTTTAATTATCTGTTTCTTCAAGTGCATTCCTGGCTGCCCTCAATTCTTGAAGTGGATGGCAAGCAGCACAGGCTGCAATGAACCACTTGTACTGGGAGATGAATAGTAGGCATAAAGATCAATTAACACGTGTTCCTAACATGGCACACTAGAGGACCTGATGATATGCAGTGTGTAATAACCACCTCCAATGACAAATGAAACACTTGAATGAAAGGCATGACCCTTTAAAATAATTTTCATTTTGATATTTGGTGCTGAGGATTGTACCCAGGGCCTTATGCATGCTAAGCATACTAAGAGGAGGATGGAGACATTTGTGGAACATGCAGGGAACTTCTAATTAATTCAGTTTTGAAAGGTGAGGAAGTTAGAAGTTAAAATGTCAGGTGTATCATACATAAGGAAAATGACAGCTGGCAATAATGAAGAATAGTCTTTGAAATAAATGGATTTCCCAGCTTCCTGCCTGCTGGGCAACTTAACCTGAAGATCTTGAAGATATTTTCTTATGATTACAAAACAAGGGGAAACTTGTGTTATTGATATTAATAGATACTGTGCATACTAAAATCTCTTTAATCAACATTATGTCCTAAGACTCTGACCCTACAATCAGTCCTTCTGAGAGTAATTCTGAGAGCCATCCTGAGATTTTAGTTCTTAGGATGGCTTTCAGGTTGTAGTTGCTTGTCTGTGTGTGTGTGTGTGTGTGTGTGTGTAAAGTACACAGGCCCTGGAAACCATTTCATATCAAACTTAAATTTAATTTGTGAGATACTGCTAAGCAGTCTCCTTGGTATTCTAATTTGCTGCTTAGCTAGAAGGTTTCATGACAATCGGAAATTCTTACCAATCTATAATCAAATATCAATGACAATGCTTGCTGCTAAGCACTCTGCTAATAATGGGGTGGAGGAGGCAGCAAATTACGCATTGTGTTACTGATGCAAAGCGTCTTCTCCACCATTTGGGGTCATTTGTTATAATTACAAGGAGCTGGACATGGTAGCACACATCTGTAGTCTCAGAACATAGGAGAGAGGCTGAAGCTGAAGGATCTCAAGTTCCAGGCCAGTCTGATCTACATAACAAGATGCTGGCTCAAAACAAAACATACAACCAAAACACAAAACTAAAAAAAAATGTGATGATAGTCCATATATGTATAAGCAACAATGCCTGAAGGATGAAGAATATAATAAAGATAATCTGAGCAGTATTCTTAAGGTAAGTAAAACCTTAAGAATATGTGCAAAATCACATGCATAATGGCATATAACATTATTTTTGATTTATTATTTTTGGTGACACTGGGGTTTGAGCTCAGCATCTTGTACTTGTGAGGAAGGTACTCTACCATGTGAGTCATGCTTTCAATCCATATACTTTGGATAATTTTTCAGGTAGGATTTTGTTTTGTGTTCAGGCTGTCTCCACACTATGATCTTCATTCTATGCCAGCATGTCATTCTAATTGTTATGGTTACCAAAAAAAGCAAGGCCCCTCCATCTTTTTCTGAATCCCTCTATCCCAGATGGACAGCTTCAGAAATGTTCATAATTTCTGGCAAGCCTAAACACTCCCCTCAACAAGGAACTCCTACCAGCAGTAATTGCCTGGAAAACTTCTTAAGTAGTTCTCAACCCAGGCTCCAACATACACTAAGCTAAGCTTTTAAATGTTGCCCTTTACTAATGACTTTCCAAACTGGATCCTTGTATTCTCCTGAGAAAACTTTTATTTGCAATCCTTGTGTCTCCTGGCTAGAAGCTTACACAGGACCAATAGTAGTACACACACACACACACACACAACCAAATACTATTTAAAATACATTCATGACTTTCCTTCTTGAGCCTACAACTCTCAAAAAATTATCTGAGAAGTATGGTCATATGTTTCCTTAGCTAATGAATACACTACTAACATAGGTGACATGTATGGGGGAAGGTGCCACCTCAGGACATTTAACTAAGCTTAGAACAGGGAACATAGACCAGAAAATTCATTCTCCTGTGGCTGTAGTAGTGTTTCCAGGTTTTTGAGGGGTTTGGTTGGTTTTGGTTTTTGGTGTCAGTACTAGGGCCATGATTCCCAGATCCCAGCCTCCCAAGTAGCTAGGATTACAGGCATGAGCCATCTGCACCTAGCTTTACTTCTGGTTTTGAAATCTAGGACTGAGATCACGGTACTAACCTGGAGATAAAATTACCTCACCACTGTTTAAGCAAAAACCGAGAGTAGGCGGAATCAGGAAGGGCTGGACTTCCTCCTAATCCATGCAGCTCTTCATGGAAGGTAGAATGAGAACTGCAGTTACAGAAATCCCAGGGGACAATCACAGACACTTCCAAAGAGCCACACTACTGAGCTGAATTATTTTTCATCGCGAAAGTGAATTTTCCTTTGTAATAAAGTCATGAAAATGATACCGTTTTAAGATTAAAAAAGTGTCACATGGGATGACCTTAGGAACAGAGTGAGAAAATATGAATGGATCACTCTTGCAGTCCCTTGGTTCTGGGAAATCTCCTACTTAAACTCAGCTAATGGATCCCTTCCAGTTTTCAGGCTGGAGTAAATTCGAAGTATCATTATAACAACTTCCCTAAAAGGTAATCTCAAAAGGCAATTATAAGCTTATTTTAGTTCTAAATCAGTGTCCACCAAGTCAAAAAGAACTTTAGGAGGGTGCGCTGAGAGGGCTCCTGGGAAGAACATATTTAGTTAGCATCAGGACCATCTCCCTGAACTAGGCTTTGTGCATAAAGATGGGCTCACAGTAGGACGATCTACCGCCCTCTGCTGGCAGCAAAACGAACAACAGGTTTTTCTCAGCTCACCTCCCAACTCCTGTCCCGCCCCCCCCCCACCCCCCCGGAAAGCAACTGGCACCAGCTTGGCTGGGACTGGGGTGGGGGGGGGGGGTCTCCCAAGGACCGCGCAGAGGGGCGCTTCTTCCCATCAGCAGCACTCCGAACACAGCCAGTGGCTGCCTGGGGTGCACCGCACAAATCTCGGGGTGGCAAAGGGGCGGGAACGGAGGAATCTGGGGAGAGCTGGCCCTGGAGCCGCCAGGGCCGCGCACAGCGCGCACTCGGGGTCCCCTCCCCACCCGCCCCGGACAAGAAGGGAGGGACTCCAGGAAGATCGAGGTACCCGGAAGGCGGCTGCGTCTCTCCCGCGGCTCCTAGACCAGGTCGGGGTGACCGTGGCTCCCGGGTCAGCGGCCTCAAGAGCGAGGCAGCAGCAGCTCAAAAGCCAGAGCCTCCAGGGCGCGCGCTCCATACCGGCGCCGCGGGTCCTCCTCCGCCCGCTTTCTCTTTCGCTACCCGGGCTCCGCCCCGCGCCGGGGCGGGAGTGCTCACTTCCTGGCCACCCCTGTGGATCTCCAGAGTGAATGCTGGGGGTTCTGCTCTTTTTGACTCGAGAAAGGCTTTTGGTTCGTTGGAAATGTGTACTTGATGCACTTGGTGGTCTCCCTAAGAAGTGAGGGGGAAAAATAAAACAAGGAGGGGGCGGGGAGGTGGAAACCTAGGAGACAGGCTTGATGCATTAACCTGAAAATCCAAACTGCTCTGTGTCCGCACTTCCAGAATTCACCCCGTTATTCTTTTTATCTCAAATGAGAAGATTGGTTCAGTCTGTTGATTTGAACTTGGGCTTCATTGTGTCCTTTCTTTCTGGATGTGAAGTAATGTTGAGTACCCCAAATAATGTGTGCAAATCTATTTCTAAATGTGTGAAATTGTAAAAGTGTAAAACAAATTATGTATAATTGTGACAGTTGTGAAAATCTAGTTTCCTCATGTGTAATGCTGTGGTCAAATCGCCATCTGCAAGAAGGATGGATTTAGCCCACTCACTTCCTGACTGTGTAAAGTTTAATTACATCCATCCACATCAAAACTGATTTTACCAGGTACACATTTTAAGTGCTGTAGCTATTTGTTTTTTTTTTGTTAGGTAGCATTTTTTTTTGTCTGTATGCCAATCTTGGGGCTTGATTGCAGGGCCTGAGCGCTGTCCCTGAGCTATTTTACTCAGGGCTAGAGCTCTACCACTTGAGATACAGCTCCACTTCCAGCATTTTTGGTACTCAATTGGAAATAAGAGTCTCATGGCTTTTTCCTGCCACTGCTGGCATGGAGCCTTTTGAGTCTCAGATCTCAGCCTCCTTAGTAGCTAGGATAACAAGTGTGAGCCACTGGCTCCCAGCAGGTAGCTTTTTGTATTTTATATGTAATTATATTGCCTTCTTTATACTTGGCTTACTTCATTTATCACATTTTTCTCTCTTTGTATGTATGTAGGTATTTATGCTGATATTGGGGCTTGAAGTTAGGACCCCTCACACTTGCTTGGCTTCTTCTTTCAAGAGTAGGCTCTCTACTGCTCAACCCATAGTTCCATGTTTTTTTGCTGGGTAATTGGAAATAACAGCCTCATGGACTTTTCTGCCCCTGTTGGTTTCTACCAATGATCTTTAAATCTCAGCTTCCTTCTGGTAGCTAGGATGGCATCAACCTTCAATGCGATCTTCTTTTTTTTTTTTCATGCTATTTTATTCCATATGCCTTCAACATTAGAACATGGATCTGAGCAAACAGGAGGGAAAAATGTTCTAATCACATAACACACTAATTTACCAATATCTTAGGTTAAAGAAGTTCTGGTGGACTGCATGTTGGAACTTTAAGGATTCTGGATGGCATCACAAATCCCTTACCTTCAGTCATGGGTGATTCTCCCACAATGCAGCAGCTCCTCAGAAGGAAGTGTGTACTGGAAGCACATTCCCTGCTTCCATAGTGAGGATGAGAATCTCCAAAAGGGTATATGTGTTAAAAAGTGGGAGTCTAGGGGCTGGGACGTGGCTCAGTGGTAGAGCGCTTGCCTTACATGCATAAGGCCCTGGGTTCGAGTCCTCAGCACCATAGAAGCAGGAAAAAGCCAGAAGTGGCGCTGTGGTTCAAGTGGTAGAGCACTAGCCTTGAGCTGAAGAGCTGAGGGAAAGCGCCCAGTCCCAGAGTTCAGGCCCCACGACCAACAACAACCACAACAAAAAGTGAGAGTCTAGTGTTGGAAGTGGTGGGATCTATGGAAAGTGAGCCTAAGATGACATCCTTGGATCAGTATCTGTGTAGCCTTGAAGGAGGTTGAGTGACCTCAGCCCCTGCTCTCAGCTTCCTGGCTCACAAAGGTGCTGTTTATTCTGCTACATACTTTGTGTGATGTTCTGTTCCCACCGAAAGTACAGAAGAACAGGCTTATCCCACCGTTTTCAGGAACCTACAGAAATGTGAGCCAAAATGAATCTTTTCTCTTTGTACATTATCTGTCTTTGTGTTATCTGTTTTATTATAGGGATGAGAAAGTCAGCCAATACAGCTTGATTACCCAACTCAGAGAAGCATCTGTTTGTCCTTGGGCAGTGAGAGGTACTCAGGTGATTTGGATCAGTGATATTATCTTTTCTGAGCTTCTGGGCTGGTTACATAATTTTCAGGGGCCAGTGTAAAATGAAATAGAGGTCACTTGTCCCTAGAGTATTATGACTTTCAAGATGGTAACATAAAAGCCTTAATACACCATGATGGGCCTTTCTAATCACCGGCTCCTGCTCAAATGCCTAATTGGCTGGCTCTTTTTACCATAGTACTAAGGGTTCCAGATGTCTATGCAATTGATGTCTTAGATATTTGGAGCTAACATCAATTTATATCTCCATTTTACTAGGGGGAGTATGTAAGTACTCTTGATATAAAATTTGTAGGAAACAGAGCATGCATACCTGCTCTGAGTAGTGAGAAAAAAAAAAAAAGGAGTCTGTTTACATGCATCTTTGAGACACACTTGCTCTCAGAAAACATAGTGACATGAATTCCATTTATGTAATCACACAGACCATGTTCGTGTTCACTTTAGGAAGTCTTTTACACCTGAATCTTCCTTCTTCAAGCCCATTCATTCTTTTTTATAGACCAAGATTGGCCTTCTGATTATGGCTCCTTTTTATTGGCACTCATGAGTTGGAATATTTATATATAATCAGTCATCTTTTTGCCATAATCATTGGTATCATAAACCCCAAAAGCTATTTGAACTTAACTTTCCTCATAAACCCATATGAACAACATTTACTCTGTGAGCCACAGGTGATTTCAACACTACTACTAGCTACTCGAGAGGCTGAGATCTAAGGTTCATGATTCAAACCAAACCTGGTCAGACAAACAGATAAGATAATTAACCATCAGAAAGCCAGAAGTGGAAGTATGGCTCAAGTGGCAGAGCATCAGCCTTGATCAAAAAGCCAAGCAAAAGCATGAGGCCATGAGTTCCAGCCTCAGTACAGAGAAAGTCAAAAACAACCAAACAAACCCAATATATATTGAGTTCCTACTATTTGATGGGTTCATGAGGGGCTAGAGATGGAATGGCAAAATTGGCATTACAGGAAGAGGATACTGTTTAAGATAAGGAGACTTGGGAATGTGAAGGAGAGGAGTGGAGTGAGAGTTGCAGGGCAGGCATTCGTGATGAGGGGACAGGGGAGCACAGATCTCCAGTAGAAGGGAGAGAGTCCTGTGGCTGTGTAGATATCTGCAGATGGTAATTTCCTATAGAAGGAATGGTGGCCCATATCCTCGGAATGCAAGTGTACTTAGTACCTCATGAAGAGAGAGAAATCAAATATGGAGGATGTGGAGGGGAAAAACAGGCCTGCGAGCTGAGATGACAAGCACATACATCATAGAGACCTTTATGATGAGTCATTTAAGAGAACTAGTTATTAGGAAATTTTAAAAAACCACCACAATTTTAAGTGCCTTGAAAAGACTTTCATGTGGAAAAATAGAAGTTACAGGTATCTGATCATTCTGAAATATTACATGCATCATTATAGGGAGGATATAATTTTGCCCATCAAATTTGCAAAATATGCAGGATGGGAGGATTAACATCATGAAAATGGCAATACTGCCAAATGCTATCTACAAATTCAATGCGATATCTATCAATATCCCAGCCTCATTCATTCTTCAATGAAATAGAAGAAGCAACCCTGAAATTCACATGGAATAATAAAAGACCCGAATAGCAAAAACAATCCTTTTTTATGATACTCAAAGCAGATCGTCCTCCCACCGAACTTGCTTGGGAGGAGTGTCATAAAGTCCCTGGGAAGGAAGAGCTTCATTCTGCCTGCTCAAAAAAGTGATTTAAGAAACCAATCAGGAGGCTGGGAAGGAATGTGAAGGGTAAACAAAGGAGGAGGCTGCAATGCTTGGTAAGAAATGTACGCATTAGCTTGCCCATGTAATTGTAACCCCTCTGTACAGTAGGTTCACAAAAAATTAAAAAAAAAATCAAAGAACTCTTTTTTCTATGTAATTTTTAATTAAAAATTCTTTTCTGTATTTTTCATCATTTTTTAAAAATATATCTTTTTATTGTAAAAATACTGTACAGACAGGTTACAGGTAAATGAGTAGGGTAATGAGTACATTTCCTATCGAGCATTGTTACCTCCTCCTTTGTTTTTCCCCTACCATCCCTTCCCTCCCCTTTCCCTCCTCCCCTCCACCCAACATTGTGAAGTTCATTTTCAACATAATATCCTGTACATCTCATCATCACAATGGATCAACTTGCATCCTTTTAAGCATCCCACTATATTCCTTCCCTTCCCCAAATTACAAAAATGTATATATATGATGCAGAGTACCAGAATAAAATACAGTGAAAACAGGGGTTATACTGTGGGGGAAGAACATACAATAGAAACAAAAGAATCACATACTGCATTGTAAGTACATTAAAAACAATAGCAACAAAGGAAAAAAAACAACACTTGTTTCCTGTCGGGGTACATTTCGCTTAACATCATCATATATGATCATATGTACATAGCCTTTGACCTACTGTGCTTATCCTAGACATGTACTAGTCATTGCAGACAAGGAAAACCATTGGAACTATGTTTCTTTGGGCCTGGCTTACTTCACTTAATGTAATTTTTCTAAGTCTTTCAATTTCCTAACAAATGAGGCAATGCCATTCTTTCTGATGGGGGCATAGAATTCCATTGTACCTATATACCACATTTTCTTGATCCATTTATCTACTGAGGGGCATCTGGGTTGGTTCCAATATCTTAGCTATGGTGAATAATGCTTTGATAAACGTGGTTGTGCTGGTAGCTTTAGTATGACTTAGTTTGTGATCATTTTGGTAAATGCCCAAAAGTGGGATTGCTGGGTCATAGGAGAGCCGTATGTGGAGTCTTTTGAGGAACTCCT